CGTAATGCTCATTCGTTTCGCGGGCGATGGCCAAATAACAGTATATTTCGAGCGCAACAATGGCGCGCGGACAGTCCGTAGTTCTCTTTTATTTTCCCACATAACACGCGGCGACAATCGGTTCGAAATTCTCACGAGAGCGAATGGTATAATGCGAGAGCGAATGGTATAATGCGCGATTTAAACATAAAGATAATGTCCAGCATGTAAACGTGTAATTATATATATCGTTTATATAATACATAATTTATATATACATATATAGGACTAAAAGATTATAAAATTCGCCTTCAAAGCGCTCTAAATAAAAAATTATAAATATTTAATAACAATTTGCTGATATTTAGATAATCAAAGATTGATCAAATAAATAAATTTAATATTGTAGCAGTTATGATGACAATTCCAGATGACGACGTTGCAATATTAATTAATGAGAGAAATGCGAATATCGTGCGTCGCTTGGGGACGCTCTATATTATACGATATTGTCCACAATACACTTCGAAATGAGATTATCACGCTCCGCAAACCGCATTACAATTGCGAATTGAATTACATCTGGAATATCGTTATAAGCCGAGAAGAGCTCAAATCGTGAAATTATGTCGAAAGAAATGCGACGATAAATCCTTGACAGGATTACCTACGGAATGGTCCGGAAGAGAAGTGAGAAATGCAAGGCGAGGAAGAGAACGTAATCGGAGATGAAAGATGACCGAAGGTCGACCAATCATTTTGTGCGCACGCTATTTGCTGTAATTTTCCTCCGAGATAGAAAAGTTGTCTCTTTTGCCGCTTCAACAATTTTGGATTTTTCATGGTATACATTTGAAGAAATCATTCAAAATTCGATCCTTACGATCATCAATCTATATTATCGTGTCGATAATTTTACAAAATTACAATAAAAATAGGATGTTAATGGAATTAAAGAGTTTTGTGTTTATTTATATCTGTCTATTCTGAAAATTCAAGTAATCGATCTAAAAGTTTGAAATTTGCCACGAAACACTATTGCGACTTAAGTCAAGAGAAAATAAAAAAATTTAAAACTCATATACTTCCGCAAAAAAATAAAAAATATAAACATTTAAGAAATGATAATTTTTTTTAAACATAAAGATTAAATAAATAAGTTAATTATATATTGTATTATTATTTTTTATAATTAATTATATTATAAGTTTATAAAATTGCAAATTATATGTATGAAATTAATATATTAATTATATATTATATTTTTATATAATATTATATTTTTATATCTTATATATATATATATATATATATATATATATATTAAATTGTATATTAATATGATTACAAATTACATATAATTATATCAATATTTAAAATTATAACAAAATTGTGAAATTGTGTCTTAGAAGTTTACAGATTCGCAATCCCAAAATATATAAAAGATATAAAATATCTAAATATTATTAATAATTATTACATAAAGTTTTGATTAACTTGATCCATTAATTAAAATTTATTACATCCATGAAATTGCAGAAATATATACCGATTTCCATAAATCATTATCTGATCGACGTTTTAATCACAAATAAGTGGCAAGTCGTGTAACGCATGGCATTTCAGTGAATAATTCCGTTGTCGTTACTAAAATGGAACTCTTGTGGTGGTAAAGTAGTATTACTAAAGCGCAAATCCCGAATCTGAATATTCAAACGCACATATCACTAGTATTTAAATTAAAATTTAAATAATAAATAAAATATGAATATATTTCCAGTCCATAAAAAATAGCTGAGATTAACGTATTCTAAATCATTTGAATATTTCAATCATCATCTAAAAAAAGTAATTATTTTTATGAAAAATGAAACGAAAACTTTTTGCGTTAGGTGTATAATGTGTGTGTGTGTATTATATCAATTCTTGCATCTTATTTCGCATATCAATTAAAAAGCTAAAACATATTTTATTACTAATTTTTAAAACTATTTTGTTACTTTTATTTAGAATATTTTAATTGGAAACTAGTATGCAAATTTTTATATTGCTCAATACCTCATAACACATTCTTTGTATATTTTTATTCCGAACAATCTAAATGGTTAAAGTTTACTACTCCGAGAATAATACTCTTTCTCTCTTAAATTTTTTCATTATAACTTCAACAATGCAATTATGGAAACATTTGTGATCTTATACACCGAAACGGAAACTGCGAACCGTATCGCCATGAATACGGGATGTATTACATGAGTATCGTCGCAAATGGATTTCAGGTTTCTGCCCACTACTGTCGAGAGATTTATGGACGTTTTAAAAAGCACGATGTTTTCGACCACGTCGTTAGAACCGGCGGCAAAAATCGATATACTAGTTAAATATCCCTGTTAAAACCCGAAGTGGCGTTGTCTCATGTGTTTTCGCGTGCGAACAAGCGCGCGAGCGCTTTCGGTAAAATTTTTTTTAATCCATCTATAGTTTGCAAAGCCAGCATTATTGTGCGATGTGCAACGATCGCACGAATACAGTTAACTTTCTATGACTTTCACATCCTATAAAAATAATTCAAACGTGAATGTGCTGACGTTTCGAACAAAGCTTTTAGATCGAGTCGACCACTATTGTAGTATCGACCACTACTGTGGTTTTTGACAGATCACATAAATAATAAAAAAAACAAAAAAATTAAAATTAAAAATTGAAAAAAGTGAGCATATATAATTTTCATAAAAGAATATTTTACCTTTAATAAGTGTAATATTATAAATATTATGAAGAAAGATATTTTTCCCCAAAAAATATCTTTCTTCATAATATTTATAATTTTGAAAGTTTTCTTTTTTATGAAAACACTCTTAAAGTTCTTTAAAAAGACTCGACTATTACTGTGATTTTAAATTATTAATTGTTATTTTTAATAACTTTTATTATATAAATTAAATCATTATGAAAAACAAGAATCGAGAAAAAATCTATATATATTTTTATAAAAAAATATATTTTACTCTTTATAAAAGTATAATATATTTCTTGGAAAGTTTCTTTATAATATTTATAATTAAAAAAATTTTTTTAAGAAAATTTCTAAGTTTTCTAAATTTCTGTTTCTAAATTTTTTCTACAACATTCGACATGTAAATATACGAGTACACACAGGAGATTTAATTGGTATAATTTTTATATAATACTACATAAATAATAAAATATTATAAAAATTAAATCGAAAGAAACCCAAACATTACATTTTTTATAAAAATTTAATGGAAAAATAAAAATTTTGAGAATATTTCTAAATGTTTTTAAAAAATATTCGATTATTATTACGGTATTAAATTATTATAAGTTTTGGTAACACATTATACAAATAATAAAACATTATTAAAATCAAGAAAAAAACTTAAGCATACATATATAAATTTAATAAAAATTTTCTTTATATTTATAATTTAAAACATTGTATAATTTTCTTTTGTGGAAAAATTCCTAAATTTCCTTAAAAAATATAATATAATGTAATATTTTGGCATCATAAGCAACTAATTTTAAAATGAAAATATATCACATGTAACAGGAAGAAAGAGAGAAAGACAGAATATATTATTTTAATTTATTAAAATAATGTTAATTAATGCATTTTATACATATTTATTATATTTAGTTAAAAACCGATAAAGTTTTAATAAAATTATAATTCTGTTCTGCCTGTTAACGCAGGAAAAAATTGTCACGCAACACAAGGCGTTAAATTAATTTTAATTTTTTAATTTATTTAATAGTTAAATGTAAATTTTAAAAAATTTCGCAAATCATTTATTCTACTCAATTATCGCTTGAACAGTTTAGACGTTAAAAATGAAAGAAACACCAAATTACTTTCAAACGATATATAATACTGCGATAACAACGTGTCGGTTGCCAACCACGATGTATCGCTTTTATGACAAACTGCGATAATGAGCTGTGCATCGCATACTACTCATAATATCAGGGCTCTCCAACGAGAGAAAAAAGATAGAAAAGCGAGAAAATACGATCCTCTAAGGATTTTACACAGAAGTTTGTAATATCTTGTCTCCAATGGAGGGAGATATAAATGAAAATTATAGTTGCATTTTAGAGATGAAAAATATTTTGTATATTCTGATACTTGAATTAAAATAGTTCAAGGATCCAATTAGGAACTTTTAAAGCAATATCGTAACTTGTGATCGCAAGACCGTCTTTTCAGTTATCTGTATACGCAGTAAAATGATATTTCCAATAATGGGAAAAAATAAAAATAAAAATAGTTGTCTTTTTTTTTCAGAAATAAAGATGAGAAATTTTTTATATTCTTTTATATATACTAAAATATTTATATGCACTAAAATATTGTAGATTTAGAATGTGGAATTTTTATAAGAGTCTTTTTAAGCAATATTATTATAGTCTTATGATAGTAAAGTTATTGTTTTATTTGTTTTGTTAAAAAATTATAAACTATCTAAATAGAAAAAAATTATTATTATTCTTAAAAGATGCAATACTCTTTATTTTTTTATCTAAGAAATTAAGATATTTTAAAATACTTTAAAATTAATATAAAAATATTTCAAGAAAATTATTTTTATTTAAAGTAAACAATGAAATAGGAACATAGTAATTCCACAAAGTAATGTATGTATATATAATTTAATTTCTTTTTTGTTTTTTCTATTTTTGTATATAAATTATATTTTGTATATTTATAGGATTTTGTATATACGTAAATATAATATTGCAAGAAGAAAAATCACGAAATAAAAACTTTGTACTTATGTTTCTCTCATATACGATATACATGTATATAGTTCATTAAGACACGCTACGAAATATAGATGCGCTCGTTTTTCGCGCGCGTGAAATTTTTTTGCATTTTTTTTCCTCTTCTCTCTCTTTCTCTCTCTTATTTTTTTTGTCTACGAACCCCTTAGGCGGGTTCCATCGCCCTCGCGGAAATGAGTTTCCATGAGAAACTTTCAAACTCAAGTCGGACTTACCGCTGTGGGATATTTCGCATCTCTTCTCTCCCCAACGACCGAAGTTGTTTTCTTCGCGAAAAGAGCTGGCTGACGGCCACCGCTGCTCTACGAGTTTTTATTCGATTGAAATTGCACGAACCCATCTTGAAAGTACACACCTATTACATATACATAACAGCAAAATATTAAAATAATGATTAAATAATATCTCGTGCGTGGATGAAATTATTGCGAAAAATAATTGTCACATTTTTCTTCAAATGGCATAAAAATAATATAAATATTATGATTATTACTTTTATATTACATTAACGATAGAAAAAGTAGTTTAAATTTCATTGAAAATAATAATCAAAAAAGATCTTTTTGAACAAATAAAATTTTAATTATTTCAACAATCTTCATGATTTTTATTTGTAAATAATACAATAACGTAAATTAATCATAAATTTGGTATAAAATGTAATAATAATTTATAACAAAAATGTAAAAATAATGACGCAATTTTCCATTATAATTATATTTAATGATATAAAAATGATATTTAATATTATATTTAATATTATATTTAATGATATAAAAATTATATTATAATTATATTATAATATGGAATCATTATTTTTACATTATTATTATGAATTATCGTTACATTTTGTATAAAATTTATGGTTATTGATTTACGTTATATATCAAAATTATGAAAATTATGAAAATAGTTAAAATTTTATTTGTACAAAAGGATCGCTTGATTATTATTTTCATTGAAATTGTTATTATTTTTTAATGTACGAAAGTTTTTGTATATATCGTAAAAAATCAATCGATTAGTTGTATATATACGTACAATATTAAATAGAATATACTATATAAATAAATTTACTCACCAGTCAATGTATGCAGTCATTGCAATTTTGCTGGCTGGGATTTCTCTTTCGGGATATTCACTCGCGCAGGAATAGAATCGATCGGAGAAAAATCGCGATTTATGATCGTACGCACTAATTAATCGGCACATATTACACGCACAATTCGTCAAAGTGAGAATGATTACAATATGAAAATGATTACCCGTCCTTTCCCGACATACGACACGGCGAAATAATCAGCGGCAACTTCGCGAATCGCGAGAAGTCGTCGAGCCGTAATAAATCGTCAATAAACCTCGATCAATTCGAAAATCTATTCATCCGGCACTCACTCGTCCTTTCATTCGATATATCTACTGCTCGCACACGCGTAAAATTCACATTCGTCGCGAAAAAATGTACGAAAACGCGGAGCGATCTTGCACGCGTCCATTGATTCCGAGACTTTCAAGTAATGTGACGTCACGCGGCTAACATCGCTTCGAGCGCTTGAATAACCGCTAAAATCAAAACAAAAACAGACTGATGCCGGCGACGAATCGAGCAGCAAAAACCTATTGCCATACCACATTATATACACTCTTTCCAATATTATGTATAATATTCCGTGTTATACATATGTATTGTACTAATTCTTTTAGTCTCTTCGTATTAATATTGTAGGACGAATAATGCGTGAAATATTAATACACTACGAGTTATTAGATGTTAGATATATTAATTGTATTGAAGAATAAATTATTGAACATCGAGCAATACTAATTAATCATCTGTGAATAATATATAATAATCTGTTCTCTCGAATATATCGTAAAATTGACGATTCAAATTCAAGCTCGCACTTTCGTATATATTTTCTATTTATTCACATAGTCACGTATTCAAGAAAGACTCGAAATATCAGACAACTTCACGATCAACACTAAACGAATCGCGAGAAGCCGTCGAGAAACGAACCGATGAATGATCGTGTTAATACCTCGATTAATCGGAGAATCAACCCGGCACCCGGAGAATCTAACACGGCACTCGTTCGTCTTTTCATTCGACATATCCTGCTGCTCAACATGCGTGTAGAATTCACTCTGACCGTGAAAAAACACGGAGCGACCTTGCCATGGTCCGCTGGCTTCGAGACTCTGACGTAACGTGACGTCACGTGACGTCACTAGCATGGCTGACATGAGTCACACTGTCAGAATCAAAACAAAAATAGATTAACGGCCCGCGGCGCTCCGGGCAACAAAAAATTCTTATCGTCTTTTTTGTATACTCTCTCTTGCCTCGGTTTATTATATTTGTATTTTATACGTATAATATAATATAATAACTTTTATATGTAATATACAACTTTTAATCGTATAATAATGTCTAGTGATAATAACTAGTACAAACTAATGATTAATTCTTGTCACATATTTGAGTACAAGCAAGATTAAAATATTAATATGATTATTAATTGTATCAAAATATTATTATTATATACGATTAAATTTTATGGTTAATTATACTAATTAACCATCTAAATTAATAATACATCATGTTTGAATATATTGCACTAATAGCGATTCAAATTGGAGGTGTATCGCGCACTTTTCAATCACGTGATCAAATGCTCCACGACTCGCGTAGTCAGCTAATTTCGCGAAGTTTCGAGACATTGAAGGCAAGGTATTTTATTTGTGCAGGTATTTTATTTGTGCATTTTCCGTTGACTCTTTTTATCGGGAGTTTATCTCGCGTTCGATCGAACGTCAAAAATCGTCGCGTCAGTGGTGACATCGTCATGAATTGTCAGTCAATACGATTGACAGCGATTCGAAGTATTTCGTTCGTCAAAACATTGTCATCCGATCGTCTGCGAATCGAGAGCATCGAGTGGATTCGCGGATCAAAGTGCGCGAGTGCAATTCATATATATTCTCGTCTATCTGCAATTAATGTATATTCTCGTCTATCTTATGGACATGTGAGAGAAATCGGCGGAAATTTTTCACTCGAGTATATTCATCGGACGCATTCGCGCGCCTTCTAACGAATATCGAAAGTCATGGCGATTCGCCATGATTTATATCCGTCCGAAGGGTCGCGCGTGCAATAAACGTCGGGAGTGTCGTGCAAAATAACGAGCGATCGTAATTAGTGGCTGTGCCAGTGTAATTAGTTTTTCCGTGATCGACCCATACATGCGCGAGTGAATATCCGGAATGGACAAGGGAGCGGGATGCGAGAGAATTATGGGGATGCGAGACAGGCTGCGAGATTTACATCGGCACGTGAGTAAATTCTGTCATTGTATCTATTCTGTCATCGCATAATTGTTGAGCTTTTATTTATATGCTTTTAATTACATGTCTTTATATACGTCACGTTATTTTATTCTGATTCTGATCATGACCTGTTAATTATCTATGGTTGGTAAAATAAATTCTGTATACGAAGTTTTGTTATGCTTGCATGGTGTCGCTCGTTTACTCACGACATGTATAACCTATAACGAAAAAACTAGTATAATCGATCACGTACACGATATTACAATTATTAAATAAAAGATAAAGTGAAAAAGATAGTCTACATAAATAATCGCAAAGTTTATTTGGGTAATTGTAATCGTTAGATCAATATAGTGGTGCAATTTGGTTATTGATTCAATTAAAAAGCAAGCTTGATCTAACCTATACAAGTTACGTCTACGTTTTTTCAAGATTTATTTGTAGCTTGTGATTATAATATGACATCTCGGGCGGCAGTTTTCTTTAATTTTTCACGTTATTATTCACAAGAGATAAGACGAAGAGTAAAATGGAAAGATGCAGAGGGTAATCTAGAGGGTAAAAAGTATGGACTTATTAGATACTTTCCAAGGTAGGTAAGATTGTTACAAGAATCGTTAATCCTTTTAAAAACATTTTTGTAATTCGGTTTTGTAAAATTTGTGAGGAACGATATATTTATTGTATAAGTAATGTATATAAATTATAAAGAAATTGTAAATCAATATTGCAAATTAATTTTTGACATATTAAATATAGAATATATATTCTAAATTTAGTTTTTAAAATAAATTGCCCTTAAATACAAAGATAAATATAGGAAATTTTAAAATTTATAATATATATTAATTTTGTGTGAAATCAAAAGAATCAAAGCAATGAACATATGATTAATACATCTTATAGTTATAATTATTAATTGGGATATTCAAAAACATATATTTGTAGAAAACCAGATCATGTTGACCCTCCAATTCAACCGAGTAAACTTTTATTGGTGAGACGAGTAAAACCTTTTAAGGGTAATCCTCATTGGGAGAAAAAAATACTTAATCATCTTGGATTTAAAGATGAGGTCATAGTTATAGACTATAAAGAATAATATGATAACATATGTACGTTTGATAAATTTTTATTCATATAATTGTCATCTTTACAGAGCCATGTCAATGATCCATCTATCGTCAAAAACACACCAAATATTTGTGCTATGCTCTGGAAGGTGAAACATCTGGTAAAGATTGTTCCTATAAAGTTACCTGATAAACTGCCAACCCCAGATGATATAAATGGTACATATTTACATGAAAATGGTACATTTTACGTTGTACCAAAAGTAGATCCTGCTCGCGAAGAAGCTTTAGAAAAGTTTGTAAATGATCCAAAAAAATTGAATTATGATATTATTCAAGAAAAATTGAGACTTAAATGGTTAGAAGGGCGTCCTTAAGCTTGAAACAAAATGCTAAATGTAATAAATAATTTTGTTGTATTAAAATTATTGATACATATATATATATATATATATGTATAAATCTAGGCAATCTTAAATATTTTCTTAATAATCCTTGGCAATTTCTTTTTAACTGAGAAAAAGCTTTATTTCTTTTCAACTGAGAAAAATACCTTGCATCATATAGCAAAGAGTATACGGTGTTGATTATATAAGAACATGCTATGAAAAATATATAAAAGTAATATGCAAAAATGACAATAATTTTGCATTTCAAGAAGTATGAAAGTAAACAGTTGAACAAATAATATAGTTTATTTATATTTTGCATATGCGGTCGATCGACCGATTTACAACCTACTAACAATAATGTTAAAATTTTAGTATTTAATTCTTAATTTATTTAAAGTGTCCCATATGCCCAGAGTCTCATCAAATTTCTCGATTAATCTTAACTTACTATTAAAAGAAATTTTTTGTTTAATCCATATAAGATTTAATGTGATGATTATTAATAAATTAAAATATGAATAATACTTTCAAATTCTTGTTAAAATAGATTTTTAATTGTATTGGAGTCTTCTGCATATTTGTGGTGAATGAGACACTTTATAGGCAAGAGCAAGATATCTCTATAAGATGCCTTGCAATAAGATTTCATTATCTCAATCGATTTTTTGATTCACTCTAGTCAAAAAGTTCAAATAAATATGTATTCGATTTTAATAATATAATTTTAAATTAAGTTTTTTTTTAAGATTTCATATAAATGATATTATTGTATAATAGTCTGACAGAGAGCTATAATAATAATATAATCTTAAATTAAATTTAAGATTATGTTATTGTTACATTAACTTTAAAATCGATTCATATTTATTTCAACTCTGACGCAAAGTGATTCTAATGCCGCCTAAGATATTAGCATACCTTATTGCGAGTCACTCAGTATAATAAGTGAAAGATGAGTGCCGCTTTGGGTCAGTCGTGCGGACCTACCTAAAGATAGTGTTTCAAAAAAAAGAGTAGAATTTCAGAAAAAGTCTAGACTTCGCGAGCGAGATTCGCCGATCTCGACTGTTGTCGAATGATTCAGAAACGATCCACTAGGCCGTGTCCAGAGGACGTCCTGTCTTTCCGAAATTAGCAAATACACTAATAATGCGATTCTGAAACCGCACTCGACTGACTAATTCTGGAATTACCTTCGTCGCCATTGATAAAGGGCGCTCTGCGAATCTTACGCCTTTGCGATGCTAAGAAGTGAACTAGATTGAAATTGTAGTTAAATCTAATGTCAGCTATTCGTATTCACTACTACCGCTCTATGAAAACAATTTCGATCTTGTACATGCTCGAGCGGAATTTAAAAAGTCTCAGTAACGCGAATGTTTTGGAAGTCCTAGTAATGGAGAGACAGTGATTGCCGTCCTCTTTCATTTCTGTGTTTTTGCTATCTCTTTCTTTTTAACGATACGATTTTTTGATGACGGCTCACTCATGTGTCAAATCTTATTAAATCCTTATAGCGCCATATTTAAATATATTTGCATATTTGCAATCAATTATCATCTGTTACATTAATATCATTATCCCTGATTAGTAATATTAATATTCTTAATATAATAACAATAATATCAAATATTAATATAATTAAACTAATAATTAAATATATGTATATATAACTAAGAAATATGTATGTACATAATTTGATAATTATTAATACTGAAATGTATATTATATACATATATATTTAATTAGTTATATACATATATATATATATATATATATATATATAATTATTTTTCAAATTAGAGTGTGCGAACATACAGAGGATACGATTTTAATAAGTGAGATAATGAATTTAACATTTTGAATTAAATTAACCGCTTACATTTTGTTTGTAATTTTAATAATTTTTATAAAATTATTAAAATTATTGCATAATCATATTTCATTGTAAAGATGATTTTTCCAACGAAAAATTCTTTTATCTTTCCATTGCATAATAACAAGTGTAAACCGTCATCTACATCACAGGTCTTGTAAATTTACGCGGAACTGGTTCGTCTTCGATTGCGCAGTTTCCAAAAGCGCCGATCTCTCGACGTGTGATGAATAGAGATTGTATTCTGCGTCGTTCTAGAGCCTCCCTTGTCCGGCATGTACATTCTCAACAATCGCGCTGCCCTTTCTTCCTGCGAGCGATCCGCTGCTTTTCCGCTCAAAAAACTAAGTAGCTTCATGCTCCGTCTTTTTAGCCTTAATCTATTCAGAAAGTTCGTCTCGCCACTGCTGGATGGACTCGTACCATTCTGATCGTCGAAGTCTTCTTCGAATCTTTTTGACCGCCTCAGCTGTTCGATCTGTCTTTTACTTCTCTGTCTTCTCTTGTCGCTTGCTTCGATAAAATCCTCCCTTTGCATCGCTTCTCGTCTCTTCTCCGCGTTCATCTCCTCGACGTTACGGGAATTCGTCTCTTCCGCTCTTCTCGCGACAGCTTCCAATTCTCTCAAACGTTCAGCCTCCCTGGAACTCTTGGAGCTGAGAGAACCGGTCGCTTCCGGCTCATAATTTACGTCCGCGTCCACATCCGATAGTTTGCGATGCAGGTCGACGATCTTGCGGCGAAACTCCTCGTCCTCCTGGTTCAGCTTGGCAAAGACGCGATCGCGTTCTTCCGCACTGCCACCGACGCTCGACTTGGACGTCGTTTGAAACCTCTGTCACCACCATCCAACCTGGTGCTTGCCGCTGCCGGGCGAGTCCTCCTCTTCCGGCAGCGGCTCCAGCCGCCTCCTACCCAGGAAGCAGCGCAACGAACCTAGACTACCGCCGCCGCCAAGCAGCTGATCCATGCTCAGCTCCGGCAACGAGCAATCCTCGTTCTCCAACTCCTGATCGACGTCGTCCTCCGCCGACAGGTTTAGGCCGTAATTGTCCTCGCCGGTGTTCACCACCGCGACGCCGCTGCTGCAGCCGTTTGGCGGTGGCTAAGGAAGTCAGGCACAGCTCGGGCTAGTGATTCTTTGCAAAAAGAGAAACAGAAGGCAAGCGTTCGTCATGCAGGCAAGCGTGCGAAGCTTACGTGCTATCTTGTACAATATGTTACGCTGCATTACCGTATCGTGGATGTTTATGTATCGAGAGAAAGCGATTTTATCTGTCTCAAATAACAGTCGTGATATATTAAGGATTATACATTCAGCTAAAAGATGGTAGGAAATAAATACGAGCCATAATCCTCGGAATAATACTCTTGCATAGATCACTTTGAATGCTAAGATTACTTGGTATAATTTATACGATAGTATTATCGTGTATTATGCTTGTGCATACGTATATATATTGTGCATTAAACTCTGCAATCGGTTTTAATTTAAGTCTAATATATGTGTATAAAATGGATTTATAATTTTTACATTCAATGTGAAGTGCAATTTAAATGAATTAATGAATTATTTTAAAGCTATTACGTCATTTTCAAGCAAGCTTATATAAAAATAGTAGACACGTATCAAGCAATCCAATTATAAATATTTATAAATTTGATTCCACGAGTATAAGAAAAAGCTATTAAAATATAAAAGATATAAAAATATTTTTAAAATAAAAGGAATTACAATTTATACGAAATTATAAAATATATATATATATATATATATATATATATATATATACATATATATCTTCATAAATTATATTAAATTCTTATCTTTAAATATAGAATTCTTGATAAATTATTATACATAGTTTTGTATATATATAATCTCGTATACATATAATTCAATTTTCTAAAATATATGAATTTATTTAATTTATTTAATTGCAAATAAATTCTTCAATCGCTTGATACGCGATAAAAATTCCTCGCAGCGTCGGAACTTGTTTCACTGCTTTCAAGCTTCAGCTATTACGTTCGGATGCGAATATTCATGTATCATAGTCTCAAATATTTTTACCGAGTTGGCGGTGAAACTCTCGTCGTCCGGTCCACCGGAAGTCGGCGTACCCCATATGTCATCGCCGGAAGTAGCCCCGGACGTGGTACCTTCTTCGTCATTCGGATCTAGTGAAAACTCAGTTCGCTCCGGGGGTACTGGTGGTTGAAGAAGGTAACCACCTACACCCTCGCTAAGCTGTTCTAATAAAACCATCTTGCTGACGACATAACTACTCGCTCGGGCGGTCCATGCCCTTAAACCGGACGGCGGTGACTCCAAGTCTCGATTGTCATCTTCTCCCTGTTCGTCCAACTCATCATCTTGATCCAGACTGCTCATTGTACCAAATCGCCTCAGAGCTCTATGTAAAATAATCGTTAGAAGTATAGAAATCGAAATAATTAGATTTCAATTAAGAAGAGTGAATAGATAAAAAAGAAAATAATTAAAAGTAATTAATTTTTAGATCGAATACATCATTAATCGATAAGGGCAGTAATTCATCTCATATATCTCATTTATAATCAAGTAAACTCGACAAGTTTTTTTAAGTTTCCAGTTTTTGTTTCTAATTAACAAATTATTGAATTTAAAGATATTACAATGTTGTTAATAATTTATTATACCTATAAGGAGGTTCTCCGTCACAATCGAGGTCGTCTTCGCTACCATCTTCAGTGTTACCATCCGCAGGCGTGTAACTGGGACTGTTACATCCCGGACTATCGTGCAATCCATTTCGCAATCTATATCTCGTGCAGAGATCGGGAGTTGGTGGAAGAACTGAAATTTTCGGAGGTAACGGAGAGAACGGATCTCTCTGTAATGGTGGAGTAGGACAACCCGATCTAAAATAGATAATCTGCTATTAGAATCATTTAAAGTTGACAATAATTTTTATCTCTTACATTTTGCGACTTAGAAAATTTGTTCATCCTTTTATTTTATTGCGAGAAAATTTCTAAATAAAAAAATAAATACCTGTATAATTTCTCTCTCTGGTAATGTAATCAAATTTACCTCGGAATTATTTAAAATTAAAAAATATATTTAAATATTTAAAAATCGAATTATTTAAATATAAAAAAATATAAAAAATTAAAATAT